CACACCGGGCCAATTCTTTAAAATAAAATACCATAAAATAAAATCAAAACAACATTATCGCAAAAAATACTATTTATCTTAACTAATATTTCAAAGCGTATCAAGAATTACCCACCAGATAGTCATTTTATGCTTTATTTACATTGCTGAGAATTGTAAATTAATTTTTGTGATAATGTAATTTAAAGTAATGTAATGTAAATAAAGCATAAAATGACTATCTGGTGGGTAATTCTTGATACGCTTTGAAATATTAGTTAAGATAAATAGTATTTTTTGCGATAATGTTGTTTTGATTTTATTTTATGGTATTTTATTTTAAAGAATTGGCCCGGTGTGGTCTAATTGTCTAAACCAATAGGAATTTGACCTTAAAACGAGAACATGCCGAAGTCTAAAGGTTTGGCAAAAGCCCTTATCAGAGAAGTAGAGCACAGAAAGAAACGGCCCACTGTAGTTTTTATTTTTTTCTATTACTATTATTATACTTTAGAATTATTCAGGAGTGGGGGAGACAACCGATTGGGCTCGTCTCCCTATTAAATCGATAACCCAGGAAACAACCCTAGATGATTTCTTTCGTACGGCTACTCTCGCAAATGCAGACTTCAAAGCTCGTAAGTCAACAAGAAAGCAAGTTTGACTCGTATTTTAGAGAAATTGGATGTGAAGGTGTTATCGAAAGCTGAGATTGTTGGTATAATTTCTCCCGAGGAGAGAGCTCGTCGAAAAAAACTGATGGAGGAGAATAAGAGTGCATTAACTATTCTTAAACGGCCAAAGATCGATCGGAGTATGACGAAGGAGGCAATTTTGGAGGCAGAGGAAGAGGCTTATTTGGCGTGGCGCAAGGATCTCGCAAAGTAGGTGCATTGATTTGTTGGATACCGAGCTTTACATGATGTAATTAGGTTGGAGCAGATGGACGGTGTTGTGATAACTCCCTACGAGCGGAATTTGGAGTTTTGGCGTCAGTTGTGGCAGGTAGTGAATCAAAGTGACGTGCTTGTTCAAGTGGTAGATGCGCGTCAACCCTTGCTCTTCTACTCCTCCAGCCTAAGTGAATATGTGAAGGAGGTAGATTCGAGGAAGGAATGCGTTATTCTCATCAACAAATCAGACTTTCTAACTCAACAACAGAGGTATGTGTGTTTCTCGTTTTTTTAATAGCTATCTTCGATTATGTTATGTTTAATATAGACAAGTGTGGGCCAAGTACTTTAATTCAATTGATGTGCGAGTGTTGTTTTTCTCCGCCTTGAGTGCCCAAGAACAGCATCCTCTTTCAGAGTTAGCTGAAGAGAATGAGGAAGCAGATGCAGAGCAAGATATCGGTGCCAAAAGGAAAACCGAGAAGCAATCACTCAGTGTACCAAGTGTAGAGGAAATGTGCAAGGATTTCGACGAAGCGAGCATTTCTTCTACATCAACGGACTCAACTTGTCGAGGAGATAACAGTGAAGGAGAACGGTCAGAAGAGTCTTTTATCAGGTTTGTGGAATCCTCATTCTGTTAAATTGATGTATTTGCTCAGTGCCCATGAGGAACAGACGGGAGTGGAGAATGGCTGCGATATTCTCTCAGCGGATGAGTTGATCAGAGTGCTGTGCGGAGTTGGCATGAAGTGTGATGATGAGAGGGAATTTCGGGTTGTTGGATTCGTGGGGTATCCGAATGTGGGTAAATCGAGTACTTTGAACGCTTTATGTGGAGCTAAGAAAACGTCAGTTTCGGCCACTCCTGGAAAGACTAAGCACTACCAAGTGAGTTCGTCTGCGTACCTGGTGACATCTTTCCTTGTCTCTTCATGTTGGCTTAACAGGGATAGATTACTTAACGCCCTTCCTTGTCTTGTAGACGATATTTCTGCGTGAGGACTTACAGTTATGTGATTGTCCGGGCATGGTGATGCCTTCATTTGCCTTTACGCAGGAGGATTTAGTTGTGGCGGGCATTTTGCCAATTGACGAAATGCGCAACTGCATTCCGCCCATTCGGGTGGTGAGTCAGTTTGTCACCTTCATGTAGTCCTTGTTCGCGCATCTCCTTTTCAGTGTTGTTCTTATCTCTTTACCCTTCTTTCATACTTATACTTCTATGCTGCGGTCAATGTAGGCGTACTGTTAAATGCCATAGAGGTGACAGGAGTATCACTTATGATTTATCGTTTCGAGTGATGTACTCAATGTTTTAGTCATCATACTTATTCTGTGCTTTTTGTCGTTTCCGCTGTGTACAGATATAGTGGCTTTGCTTGATCGGCCTTTTCTTGGTTCCTCATTGTTTTTAGATAAGTGAGCAGATACCGAAGGAAGTGTTTTGTGCTCTCTATGGCATCTCTATTCGCCCACCGAAAGAGTTTGAGGATCCCAATCGACCTCCGACTCCCCATGAATTACTTACTGCCTATGCCTGTGAGTTTTCACTCGCCTGTCTTCTTGCGACTTGGTGCTTAACTATTAGAAATATGCATTGATGGTGTGTCCATTTTACCCTTCAGGTTCTAGAGGTTTCATGGCCACTAAAGGTAATCCTCACTACGATCGAGCAGCGCGTGTGATTTTAAAGGACTACGTTAAAGTGAGTAATTTTGCAGTTTTTTTTGCTGCAATAATGTTGAACATCTGTTTGAAGTACTGTGTAGGTAATTTATACTTCTGATACTATTGATTCATTACCTGTTTTTTTTCATTCTCCTCTGCTGAAGTGTAGTATTTCCTATTCTCCGACGTGTTCGCTTTCTATTATCAATTTAAGAGATGTGCTTTCTTTAAGTAATTTAAAGCAGTGCTTTTGCCCTGTCTTCCTTCCTTGGAAGTTATGAATGCTGTCCCATCCATCATAATTCAAGTGCATAATTCCAATGTTCCTACCCGAGGGAAATTGATATATACGGTTCAGGTGAGGTCATTGTGAAGGTCCAATTTCCTCAACTTGACTTCTTGCAAAAGCGAAGGGTTTGCAATGAAAACCAAAAATTGGAGTGAAATTTTGGCTCAAGTAATAAGGCTCTGACGACTATGACTGGGGCTCATAATGTTTAGTGCACAATTAGGTCTAATCGCTACTTTTGAGAAGTTTGCAATGGAAAATGCTGTGTCTGTGGACCCCTCAGTAGTAATTATTACAGTGCACTATATTGGACGTCGCGATTGTGCAATAGATTAGGCTATGGGGTGAAGTGATTGGAATTATATTGTAAAATGAGGTGATAATTTGGAAGGTTAATTCGCACTAGAGTTAAATGGCTCTAGGAAGCGAAAGTAAGTATATTGTTGAGATGAGTAAGTGCTATTTCTCATTCTAGGGTCGTTTGCGTTACTGCCACGCTCCACCCGACATGGACTCTGTTGAATACGTGGTTCTGGGAGCTGCGGAACGACTTCAACTAGAAGGGGACGCAGAGTTCGGAACTATTTCTGGGATGCGTCTAGATGGTGAAGAGGCCTCAAAAATGCTCCGTCTCTCAGTCTATCTGGCCCCCACAGAACTCCACAAACTACTGCAAAGTCGTGAACGTCAGAGGCAACGTTTGACCGGAAAGGATGTCAGCAGAAGTGCTCAAATGAGCGATGTCGACCTCACTGACTTCGATAGACAGGCTTTGAACGAGAGGGTGCGTTCTAATCGTGCTTACCTTTCATCAAAGAGCTGTTCCTTTTTTGTGCTTATATCTAGGTGTCATTTATTGCTAGTAGTACACGTTGATCTTCTTGGTGAGGTAGCACTAGTGAAATTGGAGTATTGAAATGTGTTACATCCATATATAGCGAGGTGCTCTGATTGGAAATGCTTGTGCAACATACGCAGTGGATCTTGATGTTTCCATTGAACCATTGGTGGTTAATTGTAGACCTCACTTTTCCAAGACTGCAGTCTCCCATTTAAATTGCGAGTATTCCTGCATTTTGCTTGGCGTTCATCGTTTGTTTGCGATGCCCACTTCTCCAGTTAACTTTAGAATGGCCATTTGTGAAATGCTAAGCACATCAGATTGATGGCAATATGTAGTGAAAGGTGTAAATATCCAGTAATGTGAATAATTCGGCTTTAAAAGTGCAATTCACAGGGATTCAGCTGAATGAAGAGTTGGGTGGATTTTCAGTGGGAGATTTGGATGAACAAAGACTATGTGAGTCGGACTTTTTCTCTGTTTAGTGGTTGTCATTTTACACTGAAATAGGAGCATATGTATTGACGTTTCCATTATAATCCTTCGATGACACAATTTCTGGAAAGCCTTATTGAACATGCATTTCGTCAGTAATTTCTCTGGTATACGAATTGCATTTGGCTCTGGTTCTTCAGGAAATGTGGAGGACCATTCATAAGGGAGAGGGGTGGGTTCTGGTGGTGTGGGGTTTGGTGGGGGATGTATAATTAGTGAGATTGGAAATACTTAGAAGTGGCGGCCATGTAGTCCTTGTTGGACTGTTTAATTGGCCAGTAGCCTAATCTAGGCTAATACAGTGAGCTTTGTTATTGTTGCGTAAAAATGGATGTGATCTGGTCGCCTTAAACGACAGTTCCTACTAAAGTAATCCTTTGGGATTGGTTGATTTGTTCGTCTTTTCTTTGAAGGATGCCTCAGAAGCATTGCAAATATTGTTTCGAAGAATCCATGAGAAAGGGATATTCACTGTGTGAACCTTCGAGATCGAAATCCTAGATGAGGAAGTAATCGAGGGATCCTCGAGTTTTGTTATCAGATCCACATAGTATCATTGTGATAATGTGATGACAATGGGTTATATTCGCAAATGTAAATTTTATTCTGTTTTTCTTATACTTGAAATTTTGAATACAAATCACTAGTTGTCTTCTACATTTCGTTAACAGGCGAAATTGAGTAGACAGGCTCTGGTCCGATCCAATCGAGCCCTTCCTACAATGAGTCGAGTTGGTGGTAACGGAGACGAGAATGATGATGATGATGATGCGCTCTCGACGACTTCTTGGTCAACGGTGGCGTCGAGTGTGACAACAGTGGGTGGAGCAAGTCTTCTGTCGGGCATGTCGGGCTCTGGTTACTCGTCAGTTGTTGGTGGAGATGTGAAGAAGCCATGGCGGCAGCTGTCATCTGCCAAGAAAGGCGGTGCTGTGGGAGTAGGTAGAAATCGAAGGAAGAAGGAGAAGTTGAGGCGTGTCTATGCTGATTTGGATAAACATGAACTTGAATGAATGAATGAATGAATGAGTGAGTGAGTGAGTGGGTGAGTGAGTGAGTGAAAGATCGAGGAGATTTGTATCTTGTGATATGTATGTAAATACACAGATTTCTAACATGTAAAGCTTGTTCTTGTTCATTTGATAGAAGTGATTTACTACTGATTTCCGATAAATAGCACCTAATTCGTCAAATCCAATTTCGTAGAATGTTGTTGAGGCGCATTCATCGAGTGCATGAGCTAGTTTCGTCTATTGTTCTTTGGAGATCCATTGGAAGTACAACTTCAAGACCAGTTTTGCCAGGTGGCTCGACTCTGCATCGAATAAATGAATACTTTACGCCTCTAGTAGAATCGGATCCAGAGTTTAATAAGGTAGCATTGGGAGCGAGTGTTTTAGCCAGGGGTCTGATGAAGTTGGACTCTGAGAAGATACTTGATGCTATCGTAAGTTCAACTTGAATTCTTGTGAAGTTCACCTGTGTATTTCGAAATGTTTCCGAGACGCTTGCTTGATGAGTGCTGGTTCAATGCCGATATTTGCCCGGATAATCGTCCGAGTGCCTTTAGTTTTTTCCGTCGTGTTCGAGTCGACTCTGTATAGTTGAATGAGTGAAATGTTGTCGTTGAATTGGGAATATACTAGTGTCCTTCTCAGTCGCTTTTTTGCTCTTTTTTCCTAATGTACTCGATTGGTTCCTCTTATTCCATACGTTTTTGCGTGTTCCCAAATCGTAACTCTTACCCAGGTGAAATTCACTTAAATTTTAAATCTCGATGAATTGATTTTAGACGGTTTGGTGTGGCCTATTTTGTCATTTCCTTGCATTTACATTACATTCTTAGCAAACGTTTTAAAATTGCACCTTCAACAAGAATACTCACCATAATGCGTTTAAATGACCTCAGTTTCATTGACAGTTTGATAGTTAGAATCGGTATATTCTAAGTGCATTTTTTAAGAATGAAATATAAGATTTCTTTTTTAGCACTTGTTATAAAAATATATTTTGGCAAATTGTGAAACATTATAAAGAGTTTTATCAAACTTTCTAGACATCATCTTGGGCGGGATTTTTAAGTGTACCCCGTTTAAACAAATCCCAAAATGAACTTTCGCCAGTGGTGCCTATTGTCTCTTCTCTTGTAAAGCTACGTTCTGCTTCTTTCTTGCTCTCCCAGTTTTGTGCCTCATTTGAATTACTCCAAAATTTCAGGAAAGAGAATTTTCCATTGTTTGTAGATGTCTTAGAACTTTCTTCTGATTTTGTTAAATAATATTGGGAACTAATTAGGCTATTTGTCCCATCTGGAAGATTACTGTCAATGTTATTAATTTGACTCTGGTTGTTACATGAACGATGTGTATTCAAATTGGAATTTGTTAATCTTTGTTGGTCGCTGTTCGTACTCATATTTATTGAGCTCAAGAGCGGTTTTTGAATGCCACGCGTATCAATTAACGATCGAGATGAAATTGAATATATATCTCTTAAAGGTTTCTGATATGTTGGGTATGCAATGAATGCTTGTAGAGGTAATGTTATATATACAGTATTGATCTCCAAATGGCAAATACGAACACTTTTCACGTTTGTAATTTCATCTAAGTAACAAGGGCTAGCAAAAATCACTTCGTCGCTATATGAATTCGGATGTTTGTTCTTTCTGTTCTCTTTCTTCGGTGCTGAAATTGTATAGGAATCGTGAAATTCAAGTTCATTAACCACTTTGGTCATATTTTTATTCATGAGACGGATTAACTCCTTCGATCTTTCCACGATTTGTGATAAAACGAAAAGAGCCTCATCTAAAATATAGATTAAAAACAAAAATTAGGATCTAATGCAACATTTAGTAGTTTACGATTGAAAATTCATTGTATTATGTGGAACATTTAATATTTTGTTCAAAAACCTACCGTCGAAACCCGGTGGCTCATCGAACTTCTGAATGTATCCGAGGTAAACTTCCGCAAGTTTATGCAGGGCATCGCCTTTCTGATCAACTTCCTCTGGAATCTTTGCTGTAATCCATTGATCAAGAAGGCTTCCAATATCAACATCGACGTTGAATGCATGGATAGAATTCTTTGAGCAAGTTGACTTGTCAAATTTAATGGTAATTTTATTTTTATTTGGAAATCTCAAACTGTCCATCCACTGAATTCGATCAAGATTTAGAAGATATTTGGTGCCCTTTAAGACAAACTTATTAAATTTATGTGTTTTGACTGAAATAAACATTTAAAATCCGCCAACCTCCTTCTTGCTTCGCACACATTCAAGTTTGATTTTAATCCGCAGAGATGGAATCGGTCGAAGAAGAAGATCTTTTATTCCATATGATTTTAAATCCAATGTGCCCAAACAAATGGGCAATTTCTTCAAATTATCTTTCATTTTTATCGAAAATAAATAAAAATCGCCCTTTACGTCTTCGTTCTTTTTCAACGGGCAATTGTCTTATTATTCGTGATAATGCGATAATACTATCATTTGAACTGATTGTTAAATCGATAATCATTTGTGCAATTGCTTTATGGTAGAATCAGCTATTTTATATCATTTCCGATAGAAGAAAAAAAATAAAAATTTAAATAAATCCGTCAGAATTGAGGTCACTCATTACCTCACCTTTTGATAAATATAGAAGATATCGAGGGATGATTTTCCATACGTTTTTAAAACGTTTTTCCAGGTCTTCACTAATTTATTGGATCTGATTTCCCCGAACTTACATAGCGCTCAAATCGCCTGACCCTACCTCAAGATCGTGTTATTACCTAAGCCTAAGTGCTTGAATCTGAAATGACCCCAATTTTCCCCTAGAGAACCATCTTGAATATCCAACTGTATCTTTTTACTTGGAGAAGGTTAAACACTTTAATGGCCATTGAATGAGCATTGTAATGGCTCAGTGTCCCATTATTGGCGTCCATTTCATCTGTTTATATCATTCCTCCTTAATGTGTCTAAAGTAAGCCAATTTTTTCGCACACAGAAACGCTTGTAATTCGTCGACCAGTTCGTTTCTCGTGCTTTATCTCACAGTTTTTCTTTGCTATCATATTTAAACACGGTTATGCATGAGACTTTGGTCCGTTTTCAAGTCATTGTGTTCCCTCTGACTTTGGACAGTGGTTGTTTAATATTAGCTTTTAACAATTAGTCTTAAGGTCCAGTTTGGTGATCGCGGTTTTCGTGAACAGCTTAAATTATAAAAAGTAAATTGCACTAAACGTGGAATCATGCTTATATGACTTAGTGGTGATTACACTGTTTCACGGTTATTTGTTTGCTAGACCTAAGTAAATCAATCCAAGGGACATCACCAAATAGGGTTCGGTTAGTTAAGGGGTTCATGCAAGGCCAGGAATGTCAAGACGAACTATTTAGTGCTGAACAAGTTGGTTCGAGCCACGACAGCAATTAGTGTTGAATTTCATATTTACGTAATGTTATTGAAATACAAGGTGAAAAGTATCCTTGGTTTTATGCATGCTGTTGTGTACATTAAAGAAACGCAATGATATAAAGTAAATGAATAATGCCGAGGTCACTTCAATTGAAAATTAAATTCATCAATTTTAATAAAAATCGCATAAATACATATAAGCTTAATGCCAGCTTTAGTTAACCTGTCTTCTATTATAGGGATTGTAAAACAGAGAATTTTAAAAAGGAAAATTATCTTTCCTTGTGGCTAAAAATTCCCCGCACATAGGAAAAGGATTCTCTTATCAGTCCTGAAAGAAATATTTATGTCATTCATATCAGGTGTACCACTATATCCTGAGATTTAAGATGTTTCTCCGTAATGCAAGTAGGTATAGCGTTTAAAACTAAGCTAATGGCGTCCAAAATATTGCATTGATCTAATAGTCTCAAAGAGTAATAAGGCCGCCATATCTTGATACAGCAATTAGTTTCAATCCACTTCCACCTTTCTGAAAAAAACAAGTATTGCACCAATGTACGAATTTATGCGATAAATTATAAATTGCTGAAAACTAGACGTCAAAACTGATATCGGTTTTGAATGCTGAACAAGCAGCGTATTGGGTATTATATACCACAATGTCTTCCTGTTGCATGTCAGGCTTTAAGAAATTTGAAATAAAAAGAACCAGGGAACTAAGTGAGTAAAAAATGTTCAAATATAGCAATATGCGTCTGCTAGTCTTTATCCGAATCTTCGTTTGTGATTGAAATCATTACGATATACAGGCAACAATAAAATGAAATAAGTTGTTTTCTATTTAAGTGATATTTTAACATTAAAAAATGAATTGAACTACGACATCCAATTAAAATTCAATAAATTTTGTAAAAGTGTGCAAAAAACGTCGCGAAAACACAAAATTTTATTATAACGTTTTTGTCATATGACCTTAGGTCTTCGTATTTTGAGTTTAGCGTCTAGAGGCAGCTTAAAATTTCCCCCAAATTTAATTTCATACACAAGCTAATTTACTACTTGAAATTTCAATTGCATAGAAAAAATTTCAAATTTATTTCCTCGATTTCATGCATACATCATTAATCTATGGTGCGAAACATCTCAAAACGACTAGCGCATTTCGCTAAATATAATTAATTTACTTTTAGTAAATTATTAATTTATATAAAACTAGCACAAGGTTGACTACTTTATTACTGATGCAGGATTCGTTTTTCCTCTAGGGGGTTCAAATAGCCATTGTTGCTGACGATGGCTTCTATGCTGGACATCGAGATAAGGCACTTTTCGAATGCATTGAAAACGGTGTCATTACTGACGTTTCCGTTATGATGAATGGTGGAGTTGTTAGATCCTCGGGTCTCTTCCCAGCACATTCAGTATTGTTTGACTATTGCAAGGAAAATTCATTTCTTCCAGGTTTGTCCTATTGAGATATATTTAAATTCTCAATCATAATTGCCTATTTTCAGGGTTGCATGTAAATCTCTCTGAAGGAGAACCTCTTAGTTCTAAGTCTGTAATTTCTTCTCTCTTGGACAGCCGAACTGACCTATTTTTTGACAAAACAAATCTTAGGAAAAACCTTTCTTCTGTGGATTTGCACCATGTTTATGTTGAAGTAGAGAACCAAATAATCAAATTTGAGCAAATTTTTGGGACACCTCCATTGCGAGTTGATGGGCATCAGCATTGTCATGTTTTGCCAGGTTTGTTCTAACGAAGACAAACATTAGTCAAATTTAGGCATTGTTGAAGTTCTTTCACGCCTTCTGCCTCGTCATAATATATCCTGGATTCGAATACCCGAAGAAAGTCTACTGAAACATGATAAACCTAAAGAATTAATCTCATCTCTACATCTAGTTGGTAAGTTTACTCTACTCATATTTTTTCAGTAGGATATTTTTGCTACACTGCATTCATATTTATTAGGAGTGCTTAATACTAATTACTTTCTCCCAAGATGGTACACCGATGGAATTTTATTGCGAGGTTACACACCAGGCCGCATCGGTTCGAGACATATTTCTTTCTGTGGGTTTGCGGTGAGTTTGAAACGTAAACTAGCGAGTTGATTTTCCGTCGATTTTATTTTAATGCTTCATTGTTGCCGTGTGCTGCATAGTTTTACTTACTTTTCAAGAGGATTATAAGAATTGCCAATTAATGCTGGCGACATTGAGTTTTAAGGAGATGCTCGTTAGCAAAAAACTGTTGAGTTTGCTCTCCCCTTCTTCAACCAGTCAATGATCCATTTTCTCTGAATACCAGTTCAAAAAACTTTATAGGTGAAAATAACGGAAGAGGTCCAGAGACATACCTATCAAAGAGTCATGTAAACAGAGTTTCTAATTAAAAGTTGTGATATTAATTATGTAATTATTATACTGTCTTATCAACTAAAGATGAGTAAACCCCGTCTACTTGGTGTCCGTCTTCATAAGTCAGATGAATTTGAACTGGATTCCCCAAATAAGTGCGATTGCTACCGTTTCGCACAATATATGAGAGTGTGCTTCCAATGAAATGCTCACAATGTGAAGTTTTAACGGACAAGGCAACCTCGTGTTCAACTTTAACTTTATACAAATTTTTTTGTTTTTACACTTTGTTTCCCCAGTAAAGGTGCTTTTGGAAGCAATATACCGAGCAGTATTCAGGAAACAAACTTGTGTTCGAATGAACTAAATATGCTAAACAACTCGCAATTTTATTCATATCTTCATAATGCCTTCTAAAATAGTGCACTTTTTAAAATAACACTGTTTCTTAAGCCAAATGACACGTGTTAAATAGTTCTTTTTTCGAAGCAGTAATTGGCATAATAAGGTATTTTTGAGTATCGATTATAATTCATTTTTATGTCTTTAGTTGTCTTCAAGGAACTTGACCATTGCTAGAACTGAAGCAAAAACTAAAATCATTCTGTTTTAATCTCTCAAAATTTTGATTACGTATTTTGTCACTTACGTTGAACTTATTTTGTTAGTCTGAAGTCTTGGCACCCACGGTTTACCCTTGAGGAGATTTGCTTGTCAAAATGCATGTGCTACAATTGGCGTGAATAAATTTTATGCACTTCAAAGTCCTTCCCCCCCCCCCCACTTTTACTTAGTTCATTTCATTAGCTCCGTTAATTTGTTTACATTAATTAATTTAGCAATTGTAATTTCATGTTCAAGTGCCCCTTTGTAGTTCCCTATTGGGTAAATTGCATTCTGAATGTCCCAAATAGAAATCAAAGACATTAGTTTAAGTTTATTTAGGAAATAATTTATAATAAATATTTTAAATTATGCAAGAAAGGACCCCGAGTTTGCCTTACAGTTAGTCAGAATATTTACCAATTTCTAAACGTACTTTTTTTAAGCTACCTTTTTTAATATTAGTTAGGTGAGGGATCTTATTTTGGCAACGAATGAAGAGATTGTCGACAAGTCACGTATACAATAGATAATCAGAATTCTGATTCATTAGAGACTGAAAAGAAATATTTAACGATGGGATTTTTTTCGGAGACTTGTACACCGGTGCTAATCAATTCCATGTGCTTTTACTGAAAGCATTTGAAGGCGATTATCTCAAGTAGCCTCACAGTAATACAAAAAATGCCAATTTGTATTTCAGAAAGCTGACTAGTGGCTTTCCTAATAAACGAGCATTCTAACAACTGATTTCAAAAATTGAACGAATTAACTTAATAAACTCTATTTTCTAGATTTCAAGACGATTTATTTGTAAAAGAATTTAAGCAACATGTTTATGGTTCGAAGATTTATCCTTGTGTATTGTCTAGCACAAAGAATTGATAAATGGTTATTTAATCCATAGATTGTATGAGTATTATCAGCTTATCAAACTTTTTCATTGTGCAGTAAGGGGTGTTTTAGTGAAACCTTAATCTGGAAAAAGGAGAAATATCATTTGGTTCACGCAAGTGTGCTTCATTCACATGAGATGAGCCTGCCACAATCTAAGGATAAAGAGATTTATCATATTTATTGAAAATAAATGGATTTTTTCCACAATAAACCATAACAAAACCACTTGGTGTTATTTATTTTCTCCTTATCTTCAGAACTAGAGATTGAGGTAGGGAGAAATTTCTGCCATTTTAGATGTAGAACATTGTTTAAGTTAAAAACTAATGTCCAATATCCTCATTCATTTTGATATATTATTATTGAATATATTGAAATGTGATATTCCTTTCATAAGACAAAGCGGAATGTTTTAACCATTTAATTATAGGAAAGTTTGTTTCTTAGAAAACCTGAGCGATACCATGAAGGCATTGTTTGAAAATAGCAAACACAGTCAGGGTATTTTACATTTTTCTTCATTCTGATTCAACTTATCTTCCAATATCCTCTCTCTGTTAAATAGGAGTTGATTTCTAAACACGCAACAACATGACTTTCGATGAAGTAATGCAGTGGGTTTCCCACGTGTGGTGTTGAAGTGTCATGTCTAATTTGTACGATCGATTTTGGCAGGCTACTACTTTGCTTATGAAAGTACACTAAATTTCATCTAAAGATTTCAATGATCGAGAAGCCAATTTTCAGTGGTTCTAGTTTCCCAAAAAGTTTGCCTTTTGGCGCTATTAACCAGTTTGAAATGACCGCGAGCATAGCTAAAGGTGATAATTGGACAAATTTGGAGCATTAAAGGCCCCGCGTATTCACACTAAAGATTTTATATTAATGAATTTTCTCGTGAAGTAAATATAGCTGTTCTGATATCCCTTGTTTAAGTTCATCGTTAATAGAACAGTTAAATCAATTAATTTTCTTCCTCTATTGATTCGTGAAGTTCGGATTCTTAACACAAACATGTCGAAAGGTGTGGTCGTGAGTGCAGAGAACTTATCAGATAGTCAGCTTTTAATGCTCTTTCCAATTCTGGTACATGTATTCGATTACTAATCATGTTTGCTGGGACCATAATTGAGATAAACGCTTTACTCACAATATACCCTCCTCAGCTATAGCATTGCGGTATAGGGTCCCACAGAGGTTACTTAGCACAAGCCAAGGTTTATCAACGTATCAATTCGTTACTGATTAAAATTCCGGGCTAAAACTTGAACATACCTCCTCTTGATATTTATTTATTACAATATTAAACTTAATTACTTTATAAATTAAATGTGCATAAAATAGCAAGCGTATCAGATTTAAATTCGTGCATTTTAGGATTAGAAATTAATAAAAGATGAACACAAATCCTTATGCAAAACTTAAGGTTATCTTCAGAACTTCAAATCTGATTGGTTAATCTAGACTTGTAACCCCTATGGAACATGTTCAAGCAATTATAGAGTCACAACACGCATATTCCCACATCAAGTACATTCGTGTATTAAATAACCCCGGTATCTGCCTAACTGGGTCACTTGGCAAATTGAACGCCGGGGGGGGGGGGGGGGGGGGGGGGGGGGGGCGGGAGGAGGAGGGCGTTCTTCTCTCAAATAGTTGAAAGTCAAAGTAGCTAGAAGACGCTTGTGCCTATTTTGCCGCAGACATTCCAGCTCCAACAGTCGGTTTGCTAAATTGACAGGGTCAAGTTGAGACTAGAACTGCATTCATGCCGAAATATTTCTTATTTGCTTATCAGCGTTTAGACAAGTTGGAGCATATCTATTCATTGCAATATTAACGCAATATCAACGCTGTACTGTTGGTTATATTAGCAATATCCCGATATTTATTGGTGTGTTATTATTGCAAAAGGAATAACTGATTTAATATTGTTTTATTGTAGCTTCGCTAATTTTCACCAAGTTATTAACAAACTATCACTTAACACAAATATTTGAGCATATAAAATCCTGACAATGTCGAAAAGTCGAACAAAATTTTGCAAAATTAAGGCATCCACCCACTAATTTTCAAATATCAAGGTCATGTGCCTTCTTTGCGCTTTTGTATGTTAATAAAATGAATTCTGACATTTTTTGCTATTGTTTCTGTCTGTAACAAGTCTGCCTATATGAAGATATTTCGGTTTTTTATAAACACCTTAAATTATATTGAAATTTGATGCAAGATATTATGGGTTAATTTCAACTTTCAGTAACAGGAGCGAATTTGCTTGAATTCTTCAAATTTTGAGGGTTGATTATAATCGAATTTATAAAGAAAATTGATATCTTCGAAAATTATTCATACCAAAACACATTTCAAAACATATTATCTATTTTATTTGAGAAAACTTTAATATTTCACAAAAAACATAATTCGATTAGAACTATTATATAGAAAATTGATTATTTTTACTTTCCGCAGCCATCTATTGTGATTTTCCATTTTAGCATAGAACCGAGGGTAATTGTTTATTTATTTATATCAAATGGCAGGTGTTTTGATAGTTATCATTAGCCCTGGAGCTGACTTCGGGGCTTCACAGAGAGGAGAAGGAATATCAAAGTGGCAAAAAGTCGAGAGGGGGAACAGAAGAGTGATTCACAGATGTAAAAGAGACAGACAGTCAGACACAAAGGCATAAAATAGGTAAGATGAGTACTGTGGAAGGAGTCGAGTATGTAAAATAGTCGGACCATAGTAGTTTGAAGTCAGAAGTCAACTGCCGATCAATAGAACTTTTTGCCGTATTAGTATACGTAATTGTAAAAGTCAGTGTAAAGTCGAGGTGATTAATGGAGTCTTCTGTTTCAAGTACTCGTATTTTGTTGCTTTTGCGGTAACGCGTTTCGTCCAAAAGCCACTTCTCACGTCTATAGGTGGAATTTTGAATCCACTTTTCTATGAGTATGTTGGAAGTAGGATGAAATCTTGATATATCGGGAATATTTTACTCTCCCATCTAAATATTTACCAATTCATACATTTTTATTGGTTATCTTTACTCGAATAAACGAATTTTCATAATTGGTTTAACTGAGCTAAAAGCTTGTCTTTAGTAGGAATATTTATTTATTTCAAATGGCAGGCGTTATGATAGGTATCATTAGCCCATTAGTTGACTTCGGGCTTCACAGAAAGAGAGAGGAACACCAAAGTGTCAAAAAGTCGAGAGGGGGGACAGAATAATGATTCACAGACGTTAAAAGTCGAGAGGGGGACAGAATAATGATTCACAGACGTACCGAGAGGGGGACAGAATAATGATTCACAGACGTAAAAGAGCAAGATGGGGGACAGAATAATGATTCACAGACGTAAAAGAGAAGGGGAACAGAAACAAAGGTAGAAAAAAGGTGAGTACTGTTTAATTAGTAGAATATGAAATGCGGTGGGGTCTCGGTAGTTTGAAGTCAGAAGTTAACTGCCGATTAATAGACTTTTTTGCCATATGAGTATACGTTGTCCAGAGTGCACCACGTGGAGGTAAGTCTATCGCACACCGTATTAGTAGGAATATTCGAGAGTATTTCCTTATGGGTCCTAATATCAATATGGTATATTATAGGGTTTCGTCCTTGATATACTTTTAAAGTCGACGTTTAGGCTGTCACAAAGTGACCACTACAATGATTTTAATAACCCTATTTGAGTTTTAAACTTGGAAGTACCATATCCTTTACCCTGTTACCGCGTTTGAATTTTGAACAGAGGGGGGGGGAGGTTGGTATGTTATACTTGATTTAAGTTCACTATGTTCAAACAAATTACATTTGTTGCCACAATCATAATATAGGGTAGTTTTTTAATAAATCGAATAATAAATTTGGCTTCTTGATAATATAAAATTTTAATTTTACTACCGGTCTAGCACATTTAAGTAAATCTAACTGAAAGTAATAATTTTATTCACTAGTTTTGAATATTGCCGGCCAACATTTTGACAAGGTGCCCTAAATGAAAGCCGAGATTTACTTTCTGAAAGTACTTTAATTCTGGTGAAATTGGTCGTCGATGGCACTGGCGCTAAACGAGAGGTTGAAAAGCTTCAAATTATGAAACTGATATATTCGTATTAAGTACTATTAATTAAATAGTTATCTTGTGTTTATTCATGATGGATAGAAGTTTTGTTATCCGTTTGTGCTATCTATGAAGATGTAAATTTCTAATTATTCTAACAGAGGTGTTAGTGGCTATTATCAGTGAATGAACACATCTTAAGATCTCATCTATAGGGGATTTTAGCGTATAGGTCAAATAACTCCAAGAAGTTTAAAAGGTACGCTGCGGCAAACATGAGTATATCAATAAAAGCGAGCTCAATCAGTATAAGCTTAAACCAATGAAAATTGTTAGAAGTGTTGTTTGTCAGTGTGGAAATGATAATTAAATTGCATTTCAATTTGTGTGAGGAAGAAATAGAAGCTGATGAATATATTCTATACTTCCTCTGGCAGAGAGAAACTGTAAGAAATGAAATTATGGAGAGAACTATTTCCTTTGGTATCTATTTGTGAAGTTTTTCAAATGAAAGCTTGTCTCTGGCTTAAAGTGAACTTCACATATTTCCCCTTGTCATCACTGCTTCCATTTTGTTTATTTTTTAATTTTATAAAATTGCGTTTAAGATTGTGTCTCCAATTAAAATTTCTTTCCGCAATTCAATGTCTTTTTATTTAAGTGGAGATTTATTCCAATCATTTCATATAATTAGAAAATTTGTTTAATTACTATTGAATTATCAATATAAATGAGTATAGATACTTTGATTTCCATTATCGTTATTTTTCTATTAAAAATTCATTGTCATTTAATTGACCAATTACGAAGAGAATGACTTATTCTTATTGGTTATCTAAATTAAAATAATTTGATTTCGTACTTATTGATTCAGTTTCTTGATGGGTTCTTTACCTGGCATTTGTTCATTGCATTTGTGCACCGTGAGAACTCCTTATTCATTCATGATTAGTTATCGAAATTTTTCAAACAGGTGCACAGATGCGTTTGTTGGCATGCTAACTATGGGGCAAAATATGACGATCGATACATTACAAGCGTGCTTTTCGTCTATCGATCGGCCAGCAACAGTGGAAATGATGACGCACCCTGGATACCCTTTACAGGATTTTGACTGGTCGAGTCAAGGCTGCAGCTCTCTGATTGGTCCGGATGTTTTTTCACAATCTTCCGATCGTATACATGAAATGGATGTGCTACTGAGCCAGGAATTCAAGGATTTATTAAAAAACAATCACTTTGAACTTTGTTCCTTTAACAAATTATAGCCCTTGTTTACCTTTGTAATAAAATCAATCCATTTTTTGTCGCGCATCAGAGAATGCTTTTCTGTCGTTCCTTTTAGTTGATCATAAATAAATTAATATGGTTTCCCCATTACAATTTTTCTAAATGCACTTTTATATAAGTGCCTTTAACAAATTTTTTGGCCTTGAACTTGGTGCTTTAAACAAAACAATTATTTTAAATTAGTACTTTCTATGGATCATTCCGCAATCAGGTAAACTGCTGAAACTGATGCTAATTGATTTTTGCTAATCAGGAAGGATGTTACCCTGTAGACCTTACTTTCATAGCGTGTTCTTATTTATTCTTCTAGATTTTGCTCAAGATAAATTGATCCACCTTGGTGGCTATTTGGCATCCTGGTATCCTTTATTTGTTTAAAACGGTTGCAAAAACTTTTATTAGTCGATCACCATTTACTCAAATCTTTAATTCTGGATTAGAATCGAAATCATATTTGTCTTAATCTATAGCATACAATTGTAAAGAACCAGAATTTTAAATGGAATTTCAAATCGTGAAGTGTATTAGTCCTGTCATTTCAGAAATTTTATTGGTGTTGACCTAAACTGAACTCTAATGAGATAAGGGCATCTCCCTATCATCTCTGCTTAAGAAACTCAAATGTACCATTTCATTAATTTCCCCTTATATGAATAGCAATAAGGAATAGAATGTCTTCAATTTAAAAAATTCCAAAGGTAAAACAGTAATAATCAAGATTAAAACGATATCAGCTGCAAACTTTGAACTTGTGGAGCCTCAAATTTCGAAACCCCATCCACCCCCCCCCCTCCCTCCTTATTAAAATATTAAGGAATATTGTTGTCGATAATTATGGAATGTAATAGGCTTTAGTTACTTATTGTGCTAATTCTTAAAAGAAATATTTAACACCATGAACTCTTAAGTGTATAAAAAAGAATCGTTTCAACCATTCTTAGAGAGGAAGAAAGAGAGTTGGTGCTGTTTTTGGTTGATGGAGCTACTGGAAATACTTCAAGGATTTCGAAGAAGAGCCCTCACTTTACGAAATTTTGTAGACTCAATCCTCATGCAACTGAAGGGTTGAAAATGCACATTTAAATAAAAGCATAGTATGAATTCACCCTTGTATATTCACATGGGGGCTCATATAACATTGCGACTCGATATATTTAATTGATTTCGGTTAATTTGTGATCTCCGTAGATGTTGGTGCTAAATATACTAAGTACATCTATTTTTTCCTCGATATTAAGCTCTGCACGAACAGGATACACAGCCGAATGTCTGGCATAATGAATGTTTAAGAGATAATAGGGCACTTTCGAACCTTATGTAATGACAAACCTCCATAATTAACTTCTCTACTTTCAAACAACACACCTCCACAAACGAGCATTGTCTTTCATATCACATTATCGATCAAATGAACAAGAACTATCCCATTATGGCCCATAAATTGATGTCACTTTGGTGTACATCCATAAACTACCACCAGGTAAGGAAAGCATTCCGATCTGCAATAATCAATCTATCGTTAAATTCACCATAAATCTCACAATAAAACCAATAGGCCGTCAATTGAAATAATGGTAGATTCTTTAATGCTTTCTGTAGGTCTTACAATTCCTGGCGTGATCAGAATTAAGTACACAATATGAGCTATATACTAGTTTTCTCCTGGAAAAGGTAAAGGCACATATTAAAGCAAGTACTAGCGAATATCGTTCAAGAATCAAGTAAGATTGGAAGGTGGGGGTGGAGGGGGGGGGGGTTGGGGGGGGGGGAGGAAAAGTGAGTATAATCAGCAAATTCAATTGGAGGCCTCCTGTTCCTCCTTCTTCTCTTCGTGGTGTTCTCCGGCTTGTGGAGGAGGAGCGCAAGGGATAAGACCTACTGGAGGTTTGTTAGCCTTTTTCCCTTGTTCCAACTGAAATCGACGATAGTATAGTTGGATTTGTGTGAAAACACATTTCCAATCTGGAACTTTCATGCGAAGCATATCTTCGGTGTCAAGTAGCGGTGTTATATTGCCTAAATTTCTAAAAAAATATTAAGAATTATTATCAAATGCGTTTATTTGCTCCAGAAGTGAGAGTCGTGATATAGCTGAATTCTTTAATCTATATTACTGTATACTCATACAGAAAAAATTATAAACCGGCAGTTAACGTCTCACTTTAACCTACCACGATCCCACTGCATGTCAGATTCAACCACTTTCACAGTACTCATCTTACCTTTTCTCTGCCATTGTGTCTCTCTCTTTTACATCTGTGAATCACTCTTCTGTTCCCCACCCCTCGACTTTCGTTACTCTGATGTTCCTCCTCCTCTTCTCTGTGAAGCCCGAAGTCAGCTAAAGGGCTAATGATAACCATCTAAACGCCTGTCATTCGATATAAATAAATTAAAGTGCAAGCAAATAAGTTGTCATTTAAAAAAACAAAATCTGTACTTTAACCACGAATTAAATAAATACTTGTTACATTTATACAACTTTAATCTCTTTTCTTTCAAGGTTATTGATTTGCGTGTTTGCACCATTCAATTCCGACAAATTTTCTTCGAAATAGATTTTGAAATGTGATATCCTTATTTGGGTCAATTTTTAGAAAAAAAAATGATATTTCGATGCTTGTGATTGGACCGAATGTTTGAAGAAGTAGTCAGCACGTCTTGGTGTTTTTATAATTGCGAAGAAAATCCATGTGGG